TATTTCCGAACCTCTAACAGGCGTTTGAAAGAAGACCAAGTTGGTAATTCACAAGCGCGTACCATGAGAGCAAAGCTGCTTCGGTTTCTCCGTATTCTTTGGGACGTCCTTGGAAAGCGTGTTCCCCGAATGCTTTGGTTTTGACCGCTGGCAACTGGAGACGCTTTTGTAGATGTCTGGGTCATACGCATCTCGGTCGGTCTCTGTAATACTGTGCATATACCTTTGCCAAAACCTTTCATCGTTTTTAGGCAATGTATATGCATTTCCATAAAACTGGAGATACAGAACCCAACGGTGTTACCACCGGTCCTTCTTGAATTGGCAGAAAATAGTCAAACTCGTTCTCTGAAAAGCTGTGGCTTCTTCCTTACCCACTTGCATGGCAACTAGTTCTTCAGGCTAATCAAAATAAACATATGGACTACATCTATGTTTGGTTCAAAGGTCCTGTGCATATTTACCAGGAGATTAAGTGTCTTTTCAGCCTTTGAATGCTCTATGGACTTGTAAACAATTTATAAGCTAAACTAACCCACCACGGTAAAGTGTGTTTTCATCTAGGCTCTTCAGATCTTCACTCTTCTTCAGTGTTGTATGTTGATAAACCACCTCATTCTTGCATGGAAAGTGACCAGCAGCCACCCCATGTTGTCTGTAGATTTTTTTTTTTTTTTTTTGAATTATGGGTAGTGTTGACAGATCCATAAAAAGAATTTCTTGCCTTAAAAGTTTGCCCCTGCTGTGTTTACTGAGGAATTCTTTGCAGACTCTCCTTTCATGGATTGCCCCCTGGCCTCTTAAGGATTTCTTCCTCTATCTTGCTGTCGGTGGTCTGACGAGGCATTCTTGTACCTTTTTGACTTTGTTATCTTTGATTTAGAGATCGTTTCAGATCTCTAACCCAGTCAATTTTCCAAGCATTTCTTAGATATTGGAGAAACATTTTGAGAATTTTGGGGTTTCTCTTCAGCCTGTTTGCATAGTGCATGTTTATCGAGGCCTTCTTCCAGTTGTATGTATAATAGTCTGATTGATGATATCACTGTACAGATGGAGAGATCATGTTTGACAATTTAGTCCTTAAGTGGGAGTAGGATTCATAAATATGCACTCCTTTTTTGTGAAGGTCAGATAAGTCGGCAGCATTTGGTAGGAGTTCAGAATACAGAAGTAGTTCTGCCTTTGCTTCTTCATCCTCTCCTCCCCACCCCACCCCCCCCCAACCTTGCAATTCAAGTTTCTGTGCACTGTATCCATCATTTTAGTATGTGAATGCAGTCTGTATGGTGAATATTGACTTAGAATGCAAAAGTTCTATGTGTATTTTGAAAACTACTTTCTATGTGGCTTTTATTAGTGTCTGTGCTTTGCCTGGAATTGCAGCTGCTGTGGGATTGAGGTAGTAGCAACGAGTAGCTAAACAGTTTCTAGGGGTTTTGTTTGTATGAGGAAGGGCTGGAAAAAGGTTGTAGCTTTCTTTTCCAGTATGTTGCCAGAACCAAAACTAAACAAACACCTGCTACTACATGCAGGAAGTTATTAGTGCTGGCAATATTTAAAGGGCTGCATGGGAACTTGTCAGACCTTGCTATTTTAGCACATGGTTTTTTGACACAGTGCTCAACAAAAGGTGAGAAAGGAAGAAAGAAAGGGATGTAGAGTATCCAGGCCATTCCCAGATTGGTAGGCACAGTGTAACATGCAATTATTTGTTTTTCATGGAAATACTGGAATCTTACACTGGTTGTTCTAACAGCTGTGGTCTACCCATTGAGGGCCAAGGCAGGTGAAGGAAACCAATGGATTCTTCCTGGTAGGTAAGACTGGCTAAAAGCAAGGTATTGAGGGACCTTGCTGATCCTGAGCGTTCAAAGTAAATAAATCTGCTGAAACGGTCAACAGGGTGCATCATTTGTAATAATGATAGCATTTAGGATGACCCTGTGGAAGTTTTGTAGATCATAACGATACAGTTCTCATGATGGGCGTGGAGGTTAATGGGTTGAAAATACAGAAGCAGAAAAAAAAGAACATTTTTGTGGGTGTTTTTGGGGGTTTTGTTGTTGCTAATTCCCCTTTCTGTAGTGATGTAATGCTGAAATTTGCTCAGATATAATCTAGAAAGTTATCCACCCGTGAATGTAGTATAAAATTTGGCTTGGTTGCTCTGCGGGAAACCAGATTATGTGTCCTTGAAGCTTACTAGAAATACTGTATATAAGATTTTTCACTGTGGTGGGAGTGGTCTGAGTTTATATATGCAAGAGAGGATGTAAATACAGCTGTCTTTTTTTTTTTTTTTTTTTTGTGATCCAACTTCTGCTGACTGGTACTCCCTGATTATTGACTCTTGAAGTAATTTGTCTTAAATTGTAGAATGACAATTGACTTTCACATTGATGAGGCTGCGGGCTTGATGGCATGAGATGGCGTCACTCTGGAACTTAAGCAGTGGTTCGACAATAAGAAGTATTGATTCTCTGGCATTGCCCTCAATTCTAGGTTTGCTGTGAAACTAACCAGTCAGCAAACTGATCAGGGTTAAGCGTAATGCCCTTCTGCGAACATGGCAAACTTCAAAGCACTTAAGTTGGGGCCGCACTGTAATGCGGTTGTGTTGGCACAGCTGAAGAAAGAGGTAGAGCACTTTCCTGTGGATGAATGGGAATGAGGAGGGAAGGCTGGGGACAGATCTCTTCAGAGAGTGCTGTGGCTGGATGCTGTGACTGAAAATGTGGCTGAAGGCTGATGAGTACCCTCGAAGCAGCTGCCAGGGTCTCGGTGCAACCTGTCCTCCATCACTTACTACCACCCTGTGGGCAGAAGTCAACCATCACCAGAGCAAAGTCCAGAAGACCAGATCTTTTAGGTCTTTTGACACATCTCAGTCTAAAAACAAGTAGTTTGTGTAGCCTTGGGGGTGGGTGAAAGTAATTCTCAGCGGCTTTATGTTGAAGCAGAAAAGCAGTACTTGCATTACCTGTTCTCCTGGATCCACTCTGAGTACAGCAACCCTTTGCAGGAAAAGGAGTATCAGTTGCATTGGAGGAAGGGGTGGAATATCAGCCCTTTCCGCACCAATTCTCTCCTCTTGGCCTTGATTTGTGTAACTTAGTTAAACAGAGAAACCTCTCTTATTTAAACACCCGTTTGGACATTGGAGACATTTTCTGCGCTTGTTTTAATACTGGATTGTAACAAGTTAGAAGCACGATGATCATCTTGTTATGTGATAGGGCAGTGCCTAACTAGTGAGTCCCTAGAAGTCATCTCTGCTAACAAAATGTATCTGATTAATAGTTTACTTAAGAGAGACAGCTTTTCTACTAAGCACCGTGGATCCATTTTTATACTGAATTAAGGCCTGGACTCTTTTAAATGATTGTGTCTATGTCTGTACCAGTCATATCAATGTGACTTTCCTTTGCAAGCGCGCCTTAACTGAAGGGTTGTTTGGGTTTTGTTTTCCTTTTTAACAAAAGAAAAATGGGAGAGACTTATAAATTGGATTTTCATAGCTGTTCTATGCGTTATCTCACATCGCTCACATTACCTTGCATCACTGCATTAATCTTCCAGGACAAGACCAAAAAATGTACTTTTCTGCTTAGAAGTATTTGATGGTTGATGAGCTTTGTCCGTAACGAAATTGTTTCATGCCTTGCACGTAATTCCATGCCTGTATTTTGCTTCTGTGTGACCCTCACTCAAGAGTTTCATCTTCCTTTTGTTCACTAGCAGGGGAAAAAGTCTCTTCTTTCCTCTTACTAGTTTTCTCAAAGGTGCCGGATGTTTTTAACCCTCTCTCCCTCCTACCTATTCTGCTTCCTGTTTGTCAGCTACCTTCCCTGGGCAGCCTGTATGAAATGCTTCTTTCTCCAGAGGGATTCAGTGTGTTACACAGCAACCTGCGTCCGCTGAAGCATAGGCATTTGGAGAGAACGTGAACCCAGATCTGTCCCATCGTTTGGTCCCTGTGCCCTGTATGACAGTATTACTTTCATGGATGTAAAGATCTTGAACATGTCATAAAGTTTATAAATTACTAAAAAGCTCATGTTTTTGTGTTAAGTGTATCTTGCATTCTGATGCAACAAATATGTTAAAAAATATCTCTAACTGCTCTCTGCTATACTGTGGTAATGCTTGCCAAACTGTTTTTATTTGGAAACAATATTGCAAGGAATTAGTGTGACTAATAGTTGACAGCAGAGCAACGTATTCGATTAGAGCTTACAGGAAGAGAGATTGAGGGTGTGGTACGATTAGCTTGCGACTGCCGTGCTCCTTTTGCACGTGTACGTTTGTGTGTGAAGTGGAGGTGAAATTCTAAGTAGTTTTGTTTAAAATGTTATTGTAAGATCTCTTTGAATCCCAAGGCAAATGAATTGTTCTTAGTTTGCAAGAACTGTTTTTAGGAGTGAATTGTTTTGCAGATAGGGTATTTATGCTTACAGCTGGGACAGTGCATGTGTGAAATTCAGTACGAGTTTGTAAGTCCATGATATGTTGCCAAAGATGATTCAAATGCTTAAGCAGAAAAGAGCAGATGGATATTTGCTGACTTCTGGTGATAAAAGAAATTGATGAAGTACTATCTTTCTCCCCAGATATTTTTGCAGAAAGGGTTATCATGTAATTTCCCCATTGGAAAGGCAGAAAGGAGAGGTTCTGAGCTCAGCTGGCTGATGTAGGCCTTCAATGTCAAATCTAATATAATTTTTAATATTGTGACAATGTTCTAACTCAGAACGCTGTTCTGCAGCCTTGCTGGACACCACAATTAATAGCTTGAATTTGAAGATAAGATTCTATCTTGCTCTCATCCTCTCAATTCAAAAGGTTGAGGAAGAGGTTGCTTGAAAACCTGTTTATACATAAGATTTAGAAAAGTTTTTGGCCAGTGTATCATCTGCCTGATGGAAGGATGGTACGTACTTCAACAAACTTGACACTTTCTGTCCTTGTTTACTCAAGCGGTTAGGATTTTGCATGTCAAACTTGGTACACTTGAGTAGAAAGCATGTGCTTTCTGATACTTGAAATACAGCATTTATCAAAATACATGCAATTAGCATAACTGACATGAGTGGTCAGCCTATCCATCAGCTTCCCATGTTCATTTTGGGTCAGGGGGTGCAAACCAGTCTCTTCCGCTCCGCTTTGTCATTTTGCGTTACACCCGATCTGCTCTGAGCCTGCTGAGCTTCTCGTTAGGATCCGCTGTGGGTGTGTTTGCTTCTTCACACTAGAAGATTTCCACTTCAAGAGGACATGCAGATGTCTAGGGTTGAACTGCTCTTTGATTCTCCAGGTTGACTCATGAGTCTCTGTTGAATTCCCAGATGCTTTCACAGGTGCTTAATTGGAAGGTGTCTCATTTCCTGCCTAATGCTGCTCTTGATTTCCGGTTCTTACAGGCAATGCCCTGTTTGCACAGATACAGTGCCTGAGATGTTCCTTGGTGTAGCTCTGGTTTCTGTACTGTAATGCTTCTTGGTCAAAGACCTCCCTTGATGTTACTTCATCTTTTACACTTTGAGTAGTGTCCCCTGTCAAGGCCTCTGAGCTGAGCTGTCACTTGCCATTTTTGCCTTCTGACATAATCTTATTGCTTGACACATGGAATTCAAGGATGGCCTGCTATTTCTCCCGAGATCTCTGTTTGTATGAAACCCTGTTGGAAATGTCACACAGGATCACAGTATAGTAAGCAATAAATGTCTAGGCCTCTTAGTAATTTTCTGCATTATACCAGAGTTCGTATTGCTTACAGGGTTTTGGTATTACTCTCTGGTCCCACACTGAAAGGTATAGAGAAAGTAGCCCTTCTTCACATCAGTTTCCACATTTCCATCAGTCCACTGTCCAGTTATGCATCCTTGTAAGAATATATCCTATTTCACAGAAGTTTGGGCCCTTGACAGTTTCAGTTAGAGTTCCGTAGAAGTAAAAAAGGTTCCACAAGGTATGCCAGTATATACTCTCAAATGCTTCTGAAAGTTAATTAAAACATATGTATTCTCATATGATTGTTGTTCTTGTAAATATTTGGTGTAGGTGGAATCCATTCAGCTTTTTCTGTTCTGTAAGATTTGCGACCTCTGCTTTTTCTATCATTTGTAGTATCACACTGTTTATGGCTTTTTCCTGTAATAGACAGGAGTTGTTGCTGCCGCTGACTTTGCTCAAGCATGATAATACAAGGTGTACAAAGGGCTGTAAGCATTTGAGTGAAATCTTGCTTTTCCTTAGCTCTTTGATTGCTAATCATGCTTCTGATTTCTGATCAATGTTGATATCCGGTAATCTACATTTGCATTTTGCCTTTAAATCTGGTGCTGAGGTGGGCTTAGGTTCTGGAGGACTTCTTCAAAATCTTTGCATTTGTTTTCTTTTCAAAAGAAATATTGTAAGTATTTCCTAGGCCTGATTTCTGATTGTTCTTTTCTTCTTTTTTTCTGAAGTTTCCAGGCAGGGGTGTATGAATTCCTACCACAGCAGCAGTCTTAGTTTCAGTTAGTAAGTTCTTAACGTCTTTTTGGTTCTTACCTCACAGTCCTGTCTTGTGCTTCCCCTCTGTGTTTTCCAGTATTTCGTTAGCCAAAGTTCTTGGGATTTTCTGTTCAGCATCGTTTCTTTCCCTGGTAAAGTGCCTCCTCCGATAGCTTATTGAAATCTGATCTATCTGCAGGTATTCAGTCAGAACAGTTAGAATTTGAATAATTTTTTTCTGAAAGTATTGCTTCTCTTCAGATTTAGCTTGTATTTAACCATGCTGTGCTTCAGCACTGTTCCTTAGTTCAAGCTGAATTTGCTGTGCACGCTTCAGTTCTCAATTTGTTGATTTTGTTGGCTAGATGCAGTTTACAATTGCTTTTCTTAGTTTAGTGGTGGTGGTAGTTGTTGGGTTTTGTTTTGTTTTTTCTTCAATTGCTCATACTTACTTCATACAAACTATATAAGATTATATAGTTTATGTGAATCTTATGTTGGTGCAGATGTAGTTGATTTAAATTTTGCTCTTGGATGAAATCTGTTTAATTTGCTTGTGCTACTCTGAGAGAATGGGATACATAACAAGAATTAGTTTTGAGTAGAATTCAGTGACTTCCCTGCTGGTTTGGTCAGTGGTTCTTGGTGATGGTTTTCCAAAGTGTGTGTGGGTGTTTTGTTTGGGTTTTTTGTTTGTTTGTTAGGTCTGTAAAAAAAACCAAACAATGAGTAAATTTTTATATCCTACCTTGACAGCATTTGTTATCTCCATCTGTATTCTTACTGTTTCTCCATCACTTGATATAGCCTGGTGTGATTGACATGTAATATAAAATTTATTTTCTTCAGGTGTGTGAGATTATTTGTTTGGGTTTTTGTCCAAATATCAATTTCCTCTGTGTTGTAAGCCTTCACAAACCTGTAACTGTCTAGCATGTCCTGTCAGTGCTCATCTCTCTACTCAGCCTTTTTCTACTTCTGCTAGGTTTTTGTTTCAGGTCAAGTCTACTGGGTTTGTTTCTGGGAACTTATTGTTTGGATGTATTATTATGTGAGTTACTGCACCTGGACATTTCATCATCTGTAAACTGGGCCTTAGTGGAAAGAA